GCATGATTATCTACTACAGCAAATTTTCCCATACTTATGATTCCAGGAGGAGGTTATCAGTGAGGTGGAGAGACTTCATGGTATGCCTGTAAGGTAACACATGGACTCGGAGAGCACAACAACGAGAAGAATGGAGAAGTTGCCAACACTGCATCGTCGGCGCGACAACAAACGTCAATGACATACAGCTGCTCAAGTATTCAAGTATTATGATTCCAGTACAATCGTGATTCCAATTATAACACTTGAATAATACTCGGAATCATAATACTTGGATAATACTCGAATAATACTTGAATACAATCATGATTCTAGTACACTGTGTCGATGATTTTAAATACTTACGATTCCAGTAAACTTTAAGATACCCGATCCATTAATCTGTGTCGACAATTTCAGATACTTACGATTCCAGTAAATTTTCGATAATGCGACCAAGTAAATTCCCCGGCACTTAAGCCTTCCGTGAATTTTTCAGTACTTACTTTTCCAGCAAACTTTTGGGTGCTTACACATCCAGACCTTTCGTAACAGCCACAACTGATTGTTTTCTGAAGGAGCGAGAGAAACAGAAGCCGCACCTAATAAAAACCACAAAGCAAATCATATCAAAAAAGAAATCGAAATTTCTTCCCAAATCCAACTCTTATGCGTTAACTGCATAATTACACCCGCCTTTTACGTTCAACAAGCGCAAATCATCAGAAATTTTGCATAAAGGAAATGAACAATTTCCACTTAACGGCCATTTTTTGAAAGTAACCCAGCTGTTCAGTGAGTAATTTTCCCGCCAAAACTTTTAAATGTCGGCATGGGGAAACACTTTGAAGGTAGCAAATACCAAAAGCAACCAGCTAATAGCAAGACTGTCAATGGACCCCTCTTTTCGTGAGTTGCCTGATAGCGGTTTTGGCTTTCTATAGCATATTGCGCGGCTGAACACTTGAATACTTAAGCAGCTATATGTCATCGACGTTCGCTGTCACGCCATCTGGAGCAACTGAATGAAAAAAAAAAAAAAAAACCAGAACTCACCGTTAGAGGTGGAGGTGGGAGTGGTGGTGTGGAGATCAGTGATGAGCTTGAAATCGAGGAAGGTTTCGGTGCTGTTGCCGTTGCTGCTGCTGAAAGTGTTGGTGGTGCTGGTGGTTGGGGCAGGGGTGGTGGCGGGACACTGAAATTGGGTGGGAAAGGTACACGTGCCTGGAGTCCAGGTGTGGTGGTACTGCTGCTGTTGCTGCTACTGCTTTCATGAACAATGCTTGTTGTTGTTGCTGTTGGTGTTACTGGAGGTTTTCGGAGTTGGTGGCCGCCGGTCGCTGCGAATTTTGGTGATGCAAGACTCGGCTGAGGAGCAGCCGAGGTGCTGGAGGAGTACGGGAAAACACCGATAAGGGATCGTGGAGCTGAGCAAGAGGAGGAGGTCTGCTGAGGCATAGGTGGAATCGTCACACTGGTGGCCGGAGATCGGCGGCTACTTAACTTTTGGCCATCTTTTGAGTCCGGCACACCCGTGATGCTGCTGCTGCTGCCTGTATTTCGAGTTAACGTAAATGATTCTGTGAGAGCTGCTGCCACAGTTTTTGACGTTGTTGTCAACGTAGTTGTGGCGAATGAACTTGCTGCTGATGGTATTATTCCAATATTTGTCGCTGAACAGGATGATGATGATCCACCACTTCGTGCTTTTATACGTTCCA